GGGGGCGGGGCGGAACGCTGACGGACAGCTCCGCCCGCCAATCACCGCCCTGCAACGCGCGCCGCGCGCCGCGACCCCGCCCCCCGAGCTGCGCCTGCGCCGCCGCGGTTGCCGATGGGATGTGTAGTCTTCCAACTCAACGCCCTCTACGCTGGATTTATTTATATTAATTTTTAAATCCTCTTATTTCGGTGTTTTTCCTCCCCCTGGGCATGGTGAGGGACAGTAAGGACACCCCAAGCCTGTTCATCGTGGTCATAAAGCCCCCAAAAGCGTGGGGTGTCGTGGATTTACGGTCTCATCATGTGCCCCACAGCCATGGGGTGCATCAACATGGCGGCGCCCCGGCTACTAGGCCTGGAGCATCCTGCCGGCTCTCAGAATTAGCATTCGAGCCTCATTCCCGGCTGGCGACTCATTATTCCCGCCAGGGCTCCGGGAATGTTGTTCTCCACTCCCCCCACGGCATCATCCCAAGGTGGGACGGGGAGCAACCTGCCCGGCACCCAGTTTTGGGGTGAGTCAGCCCGGGCAGGGCATGGCTTCCCCTCCCTGCTGACTAACCCCGGCCCTGGGGAGATGCGGCTCTGGGGTGACGCGGGGTTTTGGGGTGGAAAACAGCCCGGAGGTGAGCGGGGAACGATGCTGCGGTGGTGGGCTGTGCGTTCATGGATGGAGGGGGCTGAAGGGCAGGCACAGCCCCGCACACTGAGGGTGGGGAGGCTGGCGGCACATGTGGGTCTGCTCTGAGGAGGGAGAAAAGGAGGAAGAACTCAGAGGAAGAAGGAGAACAGAGGGGAGAAAGAAGGGGTAGTGAAAAGGGGAGGAGAGGCAGAGCAAGGGAATAAGAGATAAAGGTGTGAGGAAGAGAGGAAGAGGAGGGAGTAGAGATGGAGAGGAGGGTGAGGATAGGAGAGAGAAGGGAGAAGAACAGGAAAGAAGAGAGGAGGAAGAAGCGAGGCCACACACAAGACCAGCAACCTCACACCCATCCCACCATCTCCCTCTTGCAGGAGTGAGGCACAAGGAGGATGAGGTGCTCAGCACGAAGTCGAAGCACAGGGTGCAGGCAGGAAGAAGAAGAGGAGGAGGAAGGCAGAGATCCCTGTCCCTGCTTTCTAGGACAGCACAGCCACCACATTTGGGCACCCTGTCCCTGGGGAGCCGGTGACTCCCTTTATTTAGAACCAGTTCCCTTCTCCCAACCACCTCGTTCCTGCCAGGGGGAATCGAGGCACATCCCAGCTCCCAGAACTACCAAACAGCCAGGCCCGGTGATGCTTTCTGCTTTTATTCAATTAATGCAGCAATCTATACAAGAAAAAAAAAAAATAATAATGAAACCATGAAATTCCAAACCCTGACAGTGAAGAACCAAATTCTTCCTAAGAATCAACCGGAATTAAAAGATTCCCCCACATCAGACTGTACATAAAATAATCTCTGCCCCATTTACAGCGTTTCACACAGTACTTCTCGTATCTCAAACTTCAGAACTGTACAACTTTGTTACAAACCACGCTTTTTCCTAGGAAAAGCTTACAGGAAAAAAAATATTGCCACTTTATTTTTTATTTTTTTTAACTTCTTTTTGTAATTTTTATTTTTATTGGTAACAAAAAAAAATTAGAATCTTTTAAAAAACAAAAATTAAAGTCAGCCATAACTTCTAAGTATGGGCAGGGGAAGGAGCAGAGACATTTCTCAGCCGAATGTTTCTCCTCCTGTCAGAGAAAGGGAACACTTCTGGCAGGTATAAGACTTTGCTGCTGGTAAGGGTTTAGACCCCAGCCCCTCTGAGCCCTCCTCAAAGCCTGGCAGCTGTTTTGATCCATGGGCTTGGATAATTCCACCACTGACCCTTCTCGAGATCCATTAACAAACCCCAATTCCTCCTGCTCTTTGCAGAAAAGCAGGGATGAACCCCACCTTCCTCCCCCTTCCTTAGGAAAGCCAGTCCTCCTGGTCTGGGCACACGGATTGTCACACTGGATGTAGCTCCCGTTTGGGGCTGAGCACGGACACGCTGTGGGTGGATGGAGAGGTTGGACCACACACAACCACATCAGACACACGACAAAGCCAACGGGGTCAGGGCTGTGCATGAGCCCACCCCGAGGGGCAGATGGGAGAAGTTTTGCCTCCAAACTGGAGCTCACCCCACTCCCTGCTCCACACCAGCCCCATGCCACCGGCCTGACCTGAGGCCTGTGTGCAGCCCAACAGAGAAAATCAGGAATTCCTGATTTTGAATTCACAACTTGAAACAGTTCTGGTTGAAACTGTTCAACCAGACAGGTTACAAGAAGGATCCAAACCTCTGGATCTGTGTGATCGATTCTAGTTCCGAATCCAGGTTTCACTCTGATGTTGTTCAGTGCAAAAGAGTTAAAAAACCATGTTATCTACACATATACATCCGTGTCTATAGAAAATGCCTGTACAAGTGGGAAGATGGCCCTGCCTGCACGCTGGGGATTCCTCTCCTGAGGGATGCTGTGGGTTCTGCCCGCTTGCATCCTGCTCCCTCTCTCTCCAAGGTGTCAAGCCCCAACCAGTCAGGTTAAAAACCAAGAGCAGATCGTGGCTGGAGAGGAGCTCCTCCTGTCCCCCCAGCCACAGCTGCCAGCTCTGACCCACTGCAGGGATGGGAAGAGGGAAGGACGGGAAAGCTCCCGAGCAGGACACGCAGGAATACCAAAACAAGCTGGGAAAGGAAACTTGCACACGTACAGACTGCACAAGGACCAGGATGAGGTGATGGCTGGGACCATCTCAGAGCTAAGACCACCTCAGGATGCCCAGAGACACAGCCAGTGCCTCATCCCATGGAAGTCCTGCTCTGGGAAGCTGTGGAAAGGCTGGCTGCTCCAGCTTCATTCTGAGTTGACAGCAGGGTAGAGTATTCATATTGGAGAGGTAGGGATAAAATTGTGAGCCAGGAGAGCTGAGACCTCTGGCAGTGACCTCTGTCACCATCTGCACCCACAGCAGAGCCCAGCACCACAATGGGTAAGGGGGCATGGCCAGGATGGATCCAGAAAGACAAAGCCATCAGGAGGAGAAGGGATCCCTGCTCCCTGCATGCGGTTTTGCTATCACAGGAACGCCAAGCTTTCCAAAACAGGGGTTTGTAGCCAAGAGCTGGCCTGGATTTGCAGCAGAAAGCTGGGAAGGTGAGGAACAGCGCTTCAAATGCTACGTGTGGTCTGAAAACAGCATTTGCAAGGTTTCACAAGCAGTAGAAGCACAAACTTTTGGATCTCTGGACTGACAAGACGTGTTCCTTGAGAGGCTGTGCCTCAGCACGGAGCCAGTGGGGGCTCTCACCAGGGAAACCATTGGATAATCAGAGACAGACACTGGGGACCTCACCAACACCCCCACAGCCAGCACTGTGCTGAAGGTGATGGCAACGTCCTCTGAGCTCATGTGACAAAATCCAGCCTGAGCAGAACCCCAACACCAGGTGAAAATCAGCAGGGAAGGGAAGGGACAGTGGGACCCAGATGTCAGCAAATGTCCTTGATCAGCACTGCAGGGAACAACGCCTGGGTGGTTGTTTTAGACCAGGAGCCCCTCAAGACAGCAGCAAACAGGTTTCAAAATATATTACATCTTTTTATTGCCAAGCGTGCAGACCATGAAGTGTGTGGGGGACACGACACTAAGAAAAACTACAATTGGAGGGAGGGCAAAGCAGTAAAAATTTAAAAATAAGACTACTCCTTACAACTGCCAACACTTGGGTTCAAAGAATCAACTGGAGGAAGTTTTCCTTAAAAGTACAGCACTAAATATGGCATCGGGCCCCAAACTTTGCAAACACCAAGGCTTTGGTCTGGGCTAACACAAACCAGGTGGGAGAAGAGGATGATGATGGCAGATGCTTTAACACAACTCCACAGGGCTGAACACCTGATTCTTCTCATCATTTCCTGTAGCAACCAAGAAGCTCCCTACCCCAGGATCACAGGCAGGAATAAGTCAGGAGAAAGCAGGCAACTTCAGTGCTGGATGCACTGAACCGGGGCCAACATCGACCCCTGCAGCGTCCCTGCTCCCAGAGCCAGCCTCGGAGGGGACAGAGCTGCTCGGCTCCCCCAAGGCCTCAGCAGCTCCTGCTCCTGCTCTGTGAGAGTGCAGCCAGTCCCTCGGGATGGGACTGCTGGGAATGCTGCATTGACTCTCTCTCCACCTGGAAGGGGCAGTGGAGAAAGGCTCTTCTCGGGGGTCCCAAGGCACAAGCCCTCACAAGCACAGCGTCTCCTACTCCTCTTGGCTATCCCCAGCTCTGGGAAGCAGCACGTGCTCAGTGTGATCCCTCACCTGGCAGCCCTGAGATTCCAATATGGATCTCGAGACAATGCTGGGCCTCGTTTCCTTCCTCCTCAACCACAGCACGCCCCCAGTCAGACCAGCACTGAGAAACCAGAGCTCTAGTACATTCTTCTTGGAGAGGGCAGCGCAGGGACACAGGGCTGCGAGCCCATGCTGGCTTGGGAAAAGGGTCTGGAAAGGAAACCTTCGGCATTTAAAACACTAAAGTGCAACAAAAATGTCCTAAACCCTTTGAAATTGATCGCAGCAAGAGGGGTCTGCAAAGCTTCAAACTTCCAGTTACTGCAGGGCACCCTTAAAACAGACCCAAAAACCACCAGGTAAGAAGAGACCAAGGAGCCCTTTGGTGAAACAAGGAATATGAGCCCACCATGGAATTTTAGCTCCTGGGGTCAAACATCATATTTAGAACATCTGGAAAGGAAAAGTGTTAAAGCAAAAAAAACAAAACAAAAACCAAAAACAAAAGAAAAAAATACAATTCTTGAATGTTGCGCAATGAAACAGTTAAACTTTTTGGTGTTTTCAAAAGAAATCCCAACAGACAACCTGGCATAACTTTATCTGCTTCCTAAGGGAGAGATGCCCGCCTGACCCATGACTCAGGACACCATGTGCACTGGACATGTTCCATTCCTCACGTATGTCTCAGCATTCCTCCATTCATAAAAGCAAATCCTTCCTGTTTACTCTTCAGCCTGAAAGGAAAAACCAAAACTGAAGCTAGATGGAAGATAGCCAGAGGGAGGAGAAAGTTTTCACAGACTGGAGGCCAATCTCATCAGCTCCACGAGCCTGGGAAGTGCAATCCTCAGTGTCGCCTCATTTTAACTTTCCTGGCGGGGCTGCCGTCCTCCTCTTCCTCGTCACAGTCCTCCGTGTACTCGTAAGACCTTCGCCAATAGTTCTCAGAGCTGAAGTTGCTCCGTCTCCTATGTTTTGGTAAGAGGACAGAGCGCCTGTTCTCCTCCTTATCCATTTCTAGAATCCGTGGCCTGTGGAGAGGGAGAAAACAGGAGTGAGAGCACACCGTGACGGGATCCAGGCGCTCTCCTGGACGCTGTCTGCACCTTACTTGCCGTGATAGCTCCGCCTGTTTTCCCACTGCTTTCCCAGCACTGGCTACTGGGCAGAGCGGGAACACATCAGCAAGCTGCACCTCCCAAGGGGAGCTGAGAACTTGGCTATGATGGGCCAGTTCTTTCCCTTCCCAAGGCAAGCTTTGGCCTTTATCTTCACCAGGAACACTTCCAGTCACCTCTTTTTCTTTTTTTACTTGTAGCTGGTGGCCCAAAGAAAAATCCCCTGGGCAGAAGGGTCTGTCTCTACTGCAGCAGAATTTAGAGCACAGAGCTGAGCTCCTTATGGTGCAGGATCAAACCTCAGCTCCAAAATCCTTTGTCCTCTCAAACATTAGCATGGTGCAATTGTTATTTCTGCAGAGCTGCCTCTGAATACTTTCTAGCAGGACTGGGCTGGTGGGCTGCACACACCATTTACTTTATCCGAGTGGCTCCTGAGAGATCCCACTATGATATCCATGAGAATTACCTGTTATACCGGAGTCTCTGAGGCCAGAGAAAGAGAAAAACATGTTTTTCACACCCATCTGCTGCAGAGGCCTATGCAAGCCATCCCCCACAGCCTGATAAGGTCACATCAGGCTGAAGAACAGCTCTGACGGATGTGCACATTTGTCCTGCATGATCGCTCCTCTAATTGGACACCGGCCCTCTGCGAGCTCCCAGGGAAGCTGCATCTGCAGCCCAGCTTCAGGTCTTCATCCATCCTCCCAGCCTGCATCCACGTGAATGAACACTGCTCACAAACAAACCATCCCCGCCCTCCTCCCTCCAGGACAGGTTCAAACAGGGCTGGGACCGCATGGCAGCCAAGCCCTGCGACCAAGTCAACTTTTGGGTTGTGCCCATTGTGCAGAGAATGCCATCTGCATCCTCAGGAAGCTTTGGGATTGGAATATGCAGGACAGCTGGCACACTGGCTATCCCTCACAGCCATGAGAGTGCTCACACCAAGGTGTTTAAGGGAAGCCTTGCTGCAGAGCTCAAGCTTGTCTGAAACCTCAGCAAGCAGCTTCCCTGAAGGTCACGCTTATACATCCACAGAGTCTGGTTTCTCACACAAAAATACAAACACAGAGCTCTGGAATCAAAACAGACCTGAGAAACTTCCCAAATCCTTAACCTTTCCCAGCCAGCAAACCCTCACATTCCCCCCCCCAGGACTGCTTTCATAATATAGTTTAACACAGCTGCACAGGTTGCTTGGCAATAGAGGTCAAAAATGATTAGCTGCAGGGAAACTATTGTTCTGAACGACTGCATTATCAAAAGCCAGCCAAATCTATTGCTTCTTCATTATGCCACTCACAGGATAAACAATGTAAGCTGCTTACAGCCAGAGCTCAGCCTCCACAAGTCTGGGAGGAACACATAAAGAGCTCATTCTGATAAAACAGATCTGGGCATTGCAGAAAGCACCTGGCAGGTGCAAATCAGAATGGTTTTAAATATGTTCTGAGGCCAGGAACCTCAGCTATGCAGTGATCCAGAGATACCATCCCAAACATTGCTCTTAGGAGAGATGATCCTACCTGTGGGCAGCATCAGGATCTGCCTTGCGATGGGACCGCTTTGGTTTCAGGATCTGGTCCCGGTTGTTTCCCGACAGGCGGTCAGAGTTATAACCTGGTGGCAACACAGAGCTACTCAGGGATTTTGTTTCCAATCGAGGCGCATCTAGTCTTGTTCTGCAAATATTTAAAGAGAAAGAGAATTTGCAAGGGGTTTCTACAGAATCACCAGTGTTGCAGCAGAATTCCCCACCCCAACCACACAGCCCGGGAGGAGGGGCAGGAATACCACCCTCAACAGCACAACAAACTGCAGCTTTGTGGTACTAAAAGCTTCAGAGAATCACAGAATGGTTTAAGTTGGAAGGGACCATAAACATCATCTCATTTCCAAACCCCTGCCACAGGCAGGAACACCTTCCCCTAGACCAGACTGCTCCAAGCCCTGTCCATCCTGGCCTTGGACACTTTCAAGGATGGGGCAGCCACAGCTTCTCTGGGCAACCTGTGCCAGGGCCTCAGCACCTTGACAGGAAAGGATTTTTTTTCCTTATACCTAATTTAAACATACTCTCTGTCAGTTTGAAACCATTCCCCTTTATCCTGCCTTGGCTTGGGGACACACAGTCATGGGGTAAATGCAAGAAGTGCTGCAACCCAAGCTCTGGGACAAGAAGCTGAGCTGCTGGAGCAGCTGTGAAATCCCATGAAATCACCTGGCAATAACTCACAGCTCCAGTTAAGCCACCTGGGTGGGAGATGCCCTACAAAAGTATCATCACCTGCAACAGTAATAACTGCCTCCACCTGGAAACTCCCTCCTGCCCACAGATCTCCAGGGGTCAGGTGTTCCTCAGCCTGACTAAGAGGTGCAAAGAGTTGAAGTACAAGTCAGGAGAAGGTGTAGCAAACAGAAGCTGCACCGCATCCCTTCCAGCAGCTCTGCTGAAGAGCGAGCACAGCTTATCCCAAAGGAGAACTGTCACAGGATTGTAGCCATACACAGCTGGAGGAGGGGGAGAACCACTACTTGTTCTCCAGTGCTGAACTTTAGCTCCTGAGGGAGGTTTCCACAGGAGAATCCCAATCTAAACTTCCATTAGGAAGCACATCCAGCTGCCAAGCTTCTCTCTGCCATCAGGGAGAGCCTCTTCAGCTAATCAGGGCGATGCCAGTCTGGCACAGGCAGAGCTGGGCATGGCAGCCTGAGTTTGCCCAGCATGCCAGAAACAAGGAACACTTCCGAAGGCAGCTGCCAGGATGGAGTTTGTGCTAGTCCACGCTGTCATCCTGGGTTGTTCTCAGCTCCAGGGCTGGACCCAGTCCAGCCTGAACACCAAAGGCCTTGCAGATCCTGCCTGTGAAAAGTCAGGTGGTTTAAACAACTCTCAAATACAACAGCAACTGCAGGGCTGCAATTCAAACAAACCAACCCCCAATACACTGCAAGGGCAAGGGAACACCAGCCATGCTCCCTCTGGCCAGGTACAAGGAGAGCTGACACAAAAATAGAGAACAATGAATCTACCTGACTTAAATAGAGAAACTCTATTTATGAGAGTGAAAGCAGAATGGCAACAAAAGCCTCAAAAATTGCTTTCAATGGGTTCAGTAGGTCTCATTTCTATGCCCACCTCCCACATTACCTCTCCCAGCATTTCATAAACTGAGAGCACCATTCCTCCCCTCCTCAGGCTCAAAGCAGTTCCAAACCCCGCTGGCTCCCGGCAGCCCTGTGATCCAACACACAGCAAACACTGAGTACTGAAGCGTTTATGACCTGCTTGGTAAGCACACTGCTCTGGAGAGTCCTGCAAAACCCCGCCGCTCCTCCAGCTCCCACAGCTTTGTTCTCCCGCTGCCGTCAGCGAAAACACGCTCGGAGCAGAGGCAAGAGCAGAGCCAGACTGAAATGTCTGGGACCCAGCAGGCTCTGGCAGAATTCAGAGCCGAATATCCCAGCTCCAACTGGGATGATCCAACCGATCTGATCAGGAAAGCTCAGGGCTGATCCTCACCACGAAAAAGAGGAAGAGGAGTTTCACGAGGCTGTTGGCTGCTCCCGAGCCTCTCGTGCTTGCAGGCCACCAGAGGAAGTAGCTGTTTTCCTGGTTGCATAACACCCTGTTCCAGGCAAAGTCGTATGATCCCGGGGATTGGGAATGGCGTTTGTGCAGCCATCCACGGCCCCGGCACAGGCAAAGGGCACGGCGGCCCACGAGGTGGCCGCCCTGGCCGGGGATAAGCAGCAATTAATAAGCTCTACTTGGCAGCAATCACAGCACAGCCTTTGGCAAACATTGCCATGGATTCACCAGGGCTACGCAGAAATAATTACCAGGGGGTTTATGCTTTGCTCAAGGGAAAAATCCTGGTGTGGTTTTATCTGGCCTGTCTGTAGGGTCAGCCCCTCACTGTCTGATGGGCAGAGACATTTCTGCTCTGACATGAAGCAAATCAGGCCCCAAAAATCAGGGTGGATGAGCAAACAAAGCCAGCAAAGCTACAGGCTCTGTCCCTTCAGCAGGAATGCACCAGGTCAGCTGGTACAACCAGGGACACCTCACTGCTCCTCCCAGGACTTAAAGGGGGCTTATAAAAAACACAGACAACAACTTTTTATGTGGGGAGATAGTCATAAGACAAGAGGGAAGAGTTTTAGACTAAAAGAGGGAAGATTTAGATTAGATATTAGAAAGAAATCCTTTACTCAGAGAGCAGTGAGGCACTGGCACAGGTTGCCCAGAGAAGCACAGGTTGGACATGGCCCTGAGCAACCTGGTCTAGTGGAAGGTGTCCTTGCCCATGGCAAGGGTTGGAACAAGGTGAGGTTTAAGGTCCCTTCTTGCCCAGATGCACTTTGAGGGCAGCCAGGCTTGACTGAAACAATCCAATACCCTCAGCTTAGCAAGGCTGGAGAAAGCAAGAGGCAGAGCCAGTTTAAACAGATGTGTTCGATATCTGCACCAGTTTGGGCACCTTTAGCTCATTTATCTGAGCCTGTCTGTTCCAGGGAACTGCTTCACAACCTAGGACAGGCAGCTTCTCTTTCCCAAACTTCAACCAAAGCAGCTACAACACTTGGAGATGCCTCCTTGTCAGCACTTGTGCTGCTTTTCCCTGGCTGTTTCAACACCATGAACATGACAGATATAAGTTCTTATCACAGCCTCTCTCTCCAAACCTCACGTGGCCATACCCAGCTGTGGGGTGGTTTGGCTACAGCCTGCCTTTCATCCCACTCTATCTCCTGCCACATCTCATCCTGCCTCCCTGGGTCTGGGCTGATTCTGCCTGCCTAATGCCTCAGGGCTGCTGTTTTTCCTGCCTTCATTCCATGGGTTTCTCTAACCAGATGTCCAACTCCACTCCGCTGGCTTTGTGCCATGTCCTCATAATGTTGCCAGACTTGTTTTGAAACCAACTAAGCCACCCAAAAGCTCATCCAGTCTGAATC